TTTGTGTGTTTGTTTATATTGTTCATTGCCGGCATATTAAAATTTTATATTGTGACTACATGACATATTTATTTTGTATTTTTTAAAACATCACTATTTACAACGACTTATTCTTAGGCTCGTGGCCCTTTTTCTTTCATTTTTTTGAGCCTTATTATTATAACATTTTTAGAATATTAATATTTTATAATTTATTAAAAGATTAACGAATTTTATTTTATTGACTATATGTTTATAGTTTATATTTTATATATATATAGTCTATATGTCGTAGTAGTATATGTACATTTAATATATAAATAAATAAAAACATGTTTTTTGCAACATACAATTATTTTTTTTGTTTATTTTTTACAATTTCTTTTCCAAATCACATGTTTTAATTGCAGTGTTTTTAAACAGTTTTAAACAATAGTTTAAAAATGTTTAAAATAAAAGTGTTTTAAACAACGCCCAATGTTTTAAACATGTTTTAAACAAGCCGTTTTAAACGTTTTGTTTAAAACATAACAACCCTGGTTTATACATATCTATACATATTCATGCATGAAAAATTTTTTACCTGGATTTTTTTTACATCCTACCGTTTTCACCTTTCGGAAAGATTTCAGTTATGAACACCGACAGTGACATCGAAAATAGCATACCATCTGTTAAGAGTGAGGGTGCCGTCCCATGACACAAATTTTTCCTTACGTAACGTGTATCGCGTAACCAATCTGAGACCAGAGGCCCTATTCTTGAAAAGTATCGCATACGAAAAACTAGGGAAATACTATAGTGTACGTAACATATACTATAGTATTTCCCTAGTTTTTCGTATGCGATACTTTTCGAGAATAGGGGCCTAGTACACGTTTTTCGAGTCGTTATGCTTTTACTATGCATTTTTTGTTACGCGGAATTCAATTTCCATATGTCCCATGGTACGGAAGAAAGATGGATGGCGTACACGATAACCAATTATATCTTTATTTTCTTTTAAACTGTTCCAATAGAAATACCAAAGATGGCAGCTTATTGATTACGCGAATTTGTAATACGTTTCATGGGACATTTTAGAAATGAGTTTTGCGTAACACAGCACACATTCATTTATGTATGTTCATTGTATACAGTTTCTGAAAATGGCAGTTTTTTCGTTCATTTGATTTTCTCATTTCGATTTTCATACAGAACTTTGGTACTTTTTATTATTTTACAAAACGAATCGTACTGTCTTCCGGACCCAATTACAGCAAGGGTATCTCAAATCCTAGAGAAAGTTTCTAAAAAAATGGATTCTGATCAGTTAGCACTTTTCATTATTGCTTTCTGTAAAAAAATATCGTCAGAAACACTTGATCGTACAGCGAACTAAGTTAAAAAAAACTAATTAGAGCTCTATATTTATTAAATATATTTAAAAATAAAAATAAAGATGCGAAATTTGTTTTCTTCTTATTCCTTTAGTATCCATGAAGGTCACACATATTGCACACACATGCCTTGATGTAAAACCGCTTAATATAATACGCTTTAAAACTGTGCACGAATTTAGTAAAAACGTAACGACTCGAAAAACGCATGGTCTTTGATTGGTTACGCGATACGCGTTACACGGAAAATCTGTATTATGGGACGGCACCCTTAGAGCCTCCAAGAGCATTATTTTATTCTTTGGTCTTCAGTTTATACATTTATGAGAGTAATGAAAATCGACTGAAGCTTACTATAGCGCATAAGCGCGTGAACGCAGCCAGAGTTTCTGAGCTATTTAATCGATTGTTTATGAAAAAAATCGAACGCATCATATGACTTGATAACGTAACATACACAAATGAGTACATACATACATCTATCGATAGTGGCGAGTTGCTGAAAGGATTTAGAGGAAAATATTAGATTTTATTGGAAGCGCGTACATCAAAATGCGCGCAAAGCATCTTTGATGTCACACGTTGAGAACGCAGAGCCTAAAAATGGCAGCGGACGTACGAATGAGATAGGTTAGCGTTAATTTTTTCATCTGACAACATCTGATATTTTGCACAAGGTTAATAAATTAACACACATAATTTAAATTATATGTAATTAACTAAGAAAATTTTATGTGCAAAATAAGATTTTTCAAATTTTCTAAACCTTATTACTCTTTCAAAATAGATAAAATAATTGATAACTTGTGTGTATATATACATATACATATATTAAAAGTATATTATATTGTATAAAATTTGATACACGTTGCATTTATTAGTAGCGAACGAACGCGATAAATCCGTTGTGCAAGCAAGTCCGGAAAGTTCTGTCAATGTAGAGGTTCGGATATCAGCATCCAAAACGAGTCAAATATTGGATAACATAAAATCTGATCTAGAGACGGAGGAAAATGACGAGAAATGCGTCGATACATCACAAGACAAAGATAGTATGTCTTATTTTTATTATTAAATAAAATTCTGTATCTCTATTTCTTTTATATCAAAGAAAATAATTACGTTATAATTTATATTGGAATATTAATAACTATTAATGTCTGTCAGATGATTTTAAAATAAGTGATATCATATTAAAATAAAATAATTTCAGACACATGTATTGCCTCAGGCGACATTTGTAGAATCTGTCACATGGACGGATATGCCCCCATCGCGGACAACCATCCATCATATGACTCGGAAAATCTGATTGATCAGACATCGATTCTGTCAAACGTTGTTGATCTCGGTCCTTTGATTTCAGCTTGCAAGTAAGTTTTTGTTTCATTCGAGAAAGCTAATTAGAAAAAGCTAAGATAAATTCAACAAATAAATTATAAGTTTTATAAATCTTTGATTTATTGTGTAAGTGAATTATTTTCTTCTTTTTCTAACATAATATTGAAAATAATATTTCCACACACCAAGGGAAAACATAATATTGAAAATATTATGTTTATCTGGAAAGTAATTTTTTATTGGACATTAATATTTTCGTATTATTTGCCGATTTACATATCGACGTGTACCTTTTAGAGTGATATTTCTATTATACATCTCTCGTTTCGTAATTTTTTCTCATAGTATTAATTCTCAGACATGACTTACATTTAATTCAACATATCGTTGATTTGAATTTTGAAAAAATTAATACCCAATTTGTTTGACATTAATATTTTCATTTAAGATTTTAAGACATCAATATTTTTAAGTCAACGATATGTCAAATTAAATGTAAGACATATGTGTGCCCGAGAATTAAGAAAAACATTGAGGAAAAATTTCAATCAGAACAAGAAGTGTATCGTAGGAATACGGCTCCGAACGACGCGCGAGCAACATGTAAATCAACAAATTATCATCGCGAATGATATAGAAATCGCATGATAAGAGACTCAGCTTAGTTAAGAAAAGCGACTGTCCTTCCTTATATATCGTTTAATGGTGCGACAGATGCCGGGGTACAGTGGCTCTGGTGCACGTCGAGTGCCTAGAGAGATGGCTAACCGAGTCCGGTCGTGCGAGATGCGAACTTTGCGGCTACAAGTATGCAATCAGAAGGGTACGGCGTTACAGCCTCTTTCAAAGCGTCATAATATGGTTCCGCACCATAATAGCTACTCGACAGGTGAGCGAGATCGTTAACTCGCTTTTCCATCTACATTTATTTCAGAAAGCGCTAGACCTAAAGCTTCTTTAATCAAGTCTTTGAATGACACTCTATCATTAATATGCATATAAGATACACTGCATTAAGCATTTTAAATCAATATTAGGAATATTATAAAGCTATAAAATGTTGAATCTACATGGAATATTATCGCTGTAACGACACAGAATCATGCAAAATTAAAATTATCTTATAAGTTGTGATAGAACGTTTAATATGATATCATTCTCCATGTAAATTAGGCTTTTAATTGCTCTATTAATTATCTCTACTTAATACGTTCTCTTTTTCACGAGGAGATGCTACTTGACATTGGATATTTGGTAATGACCACACCTGTGGCTGTGTTTTCCTGCTATCTGTGCGCCTTGGCCTTGAAAATGTTGATGCGAAATGGCTTTTACGAGATACCCTGGATGATAGTTGCTATGCTGCCAACCTGCTTATTGACGCTGATAGCTTATTGGCGATGGATAATTACGTTAGGGAGGTACGCTATAAAACTTAAATCAGCTCGCGCTCGTGCGCGGATAAAAATAGTCGTTAATGGAAAATAAGTTAATTAAGGTATTACCCAATGCAATTACGTAATTATAAAAAATTTGAGAAGTTAAAAGCCACAAAATCATGTCTCGAAATTAATCTCATTGAAACATAATAACACTGATATTTACAAGGTTTTTTTGTCTATCTGAATGGTGACTCATGTATTTTTACCTGCTGAAAAAGAATGTAAAATTAAAAAAAGTTCTCTCAACACACACACACACACAATACACTCTCCCTCCCTCCCTCCCTCTCTCTCTCTCTCACAGATTTTAAAAAATCGAAAACTATTTTTTTAAAAACTTTACAAATTTATTAAAGTATCTGGAGACACTGATAGTGTCTCGGCGATATAGCACACGCAGCGACACTACCGTGGCTTTATATTAAACCGCAATGTGAACACACAACAATTAAGAAATAAAGGCAAAGCGGTCAAGCTTGGATCTTCAATGCGCAGAAACTATTCCATGTACCACAAATCTAATCCTTCAAACTGCGTTACTTTTCAAGTAACGATTCGTTACTTTTTTTCTAATGCTAAAGTAAGTTATTAGATTTCAAAATTACATTAGCTGATAATTAATTTAATACTAAATGTGTGTGAAATAAATATTCAAACTTGAAATTCTCTACTAACTAGTTTGTATATAGAGCAAGCTTTTCTCTATATTAAACTTACCCAAAGTTTTACTAATTCTTTATTTTACTTACAAGGGAACTAAACTTCTCATTTTTCTCAATACGTCATTAATTTAATAATGCAGTTAACTGTTAAATCATTTAACTCAAGAAGATGTTTTAATTTGACTCTATAATTTATTTCCTTACATACATTAATATGAACGTTACTTATGTTGAAATAAGTACAGAAATGGATTGATTAACATTTTGATACACATGGAAGTAAAAAGATAATAAAATGTTATTTAACTCAAGAAACTCAGGGTTGTCATTGCTCCTTTGACATCTAACAGTGATGAGTTACGGTATCATATATTTCCTGTGATGTATAAGCACATTTTTTGTTATAAAGAGCAATGAACGTATTTATTATAAATTTTAAAACTACTTGTTAATCTTATTATTAATACTAACATGATTATTATATGACAAAACGTTCGCAATTATGATATTCTTCAAAAAAATGCTGCATACAAAAATATTGCTTGCATCAGGAACATCGTATTACAGCAGGTGCACCACATATGGAGCAGCGAGGTATTTCTTGAATTATCCTTTCCGTTGAAACAAAAATCTACTAGAGTTTCGAATTGTGGCGGCCGTTCTTCCATGTATTCACTCTTATACCAGGCATATTTAAAAAAATTATGAAATCGCGAAGAAGATGGTTGTATATGCATTAAAGATTGTAATTGATGATATTATTTCTCAAATGTAAATTAATTTCATAATTTAGTAACATAACGCGATCACTGAATGTTCTCACAAAGTTTTTCAATAGTCTAAATCCATAAATGTCAAGAGGTTGAATCATTCCCGTTGTTTTCTTTGGTATAGTTAAAATTCGTATATCTTTATCTTTTTTTGGCATTAATTCTTGCAGACTTGCAGGACAATGTCCGCTCCAAGAGTCTAACAACAGCACACTAAAACTTCCAGGTGCGGATACAAATACGTTTGTAAACCAAGACTGAAAGTGTTAATTTGCCCGATTTTGATGCTGCAATGTAAACATTTGTAGGTCTAAACAAATTTTCCTCTACGTGTGGTCCAAAATTTCCACTAGCTTCTTTCAGAACCAAATAGAGAGGCGGTTTCAATTGTCCGCTTGCAGAAATTATGGGCATAATTGTGTTAACTATCCGTAGTTGTCGATAGTGATTGAACTATACTTTCAACTGTTTTAACACCTTGTGTGGTCAGTGTTCTGTCTGAATATAATTCCAAATTGAATCCACTTTCGTCTACATTATATATATTCTCTAGTTCAAAAAGATTTATGTTAGATTTTACGGTAGTATGAATTCCTGATATCCAATTTGTAATTGCTCTTTATATCTTTGCGCAGAACGACTTATAAATTTTGTTATTTTTCTTGACACGATTCTATGTTTTCTTTAAAAATTTAATATCCATGTTGCACTAGCTTTAAATAAAGAAAGATTGATTTGTGTCTTGGCTTCTAGGGCCCATCGTCGTAAATCCATATCATGAATAATTCTTTTTTCGTCATCAGCTTCTCTAAAATTTTGTAAGATATATTCGGAAATATATAACATCTTTTCTCTGTTGGCAGACCTGCCGACAAGAGCGATCCGCATGTAAAAGAGACCACGAGCAGCGGCCTCGTCCGTTCACCTTTGGTTACTACTCGATACAATGTTCTCGCGTACAACTCGTTTCGGTATCTCTCGTAACTGTACTGGAATAAATAAACGTCTTCCTATTTGTGAATCTGAGTCGAATACGCGTAACTTTCGTTCCCTACCTCTAACATTCTCTAAGGATACCTCCTTTTTGTATGTAATGTTTCCATCGAAGTTTTACAATAAAATTACCTCTATTTACTCACGTCAATGACATTTTTTTAGAATAATTATTTAACAATTTTTTTCGAAAATTTTGACAAAAAATTGATAAATCATTGTTCTAAAAACGCGAATAAATACAGCTGATTTTGTTCTAAAACTTTTGTATAAAACATTTTTTTACATCTCAAATATTTTTCGAGATATAACGGAAAAAGCTGAAAACCGCTGTACACGTAAGGGGTGATTTCACCCCTTCAAGCCGGTTTTTAGCCGCAACTGATATTTTTTAAATTCATCTCTTTATGTAAGCTACAACTTTACAAAGTTTCATTAAAATCAGAATTTAACACCTCGAGAGGTTCCCTTGTTAGATAATATCGTTATTTTAATGTACTCATTTTTATAAGAATTTAGATTAAACATATAATAGATTAAATATTAGAAATCAGTTGTTCGTCTTTCTCGCAAATTTGCTTCTAGTTAAATTAGAAACCAATATATGCTATCACGATGTGGAGTACCCTAGTGGACTAAACCAAGTGAAAGTCTTCATTTTGCAATTTTCGCTATTTTTTTTAGTTACCCAAAATAACAAAATGTTTAAAATCGACACATAAAACACAACTTTGATAGAAGTTACGGTAACAAATATGGATGGGGAGATCCCAGTGTATATGTAGGTGCAAAACATAAGCGTGTACAGCTAGGATTAAGATACACGGAGAAAATTTTAAATTAAGTTTTAATACACAATATTTTAAATTACACTTTACTATGTCTTGTATTTTCGATGGACTCTCACAACATGATTCCGACTTAACTTTTACTATGGTAATACTAATTTTTATCACATAAATAAAGTAATTATTTTATTAAGCCATATTCTAACATGAAAACAGTTAATTTTTACTATGGTACGCAAACAAAATTTGCTAGGTACATTTGATTTTGTAATAAAAAATTTTTACTATGAAAAAGTGTAAAAATTACGTTATATAATTGTTTTTAAAAAAGTAACTATAGTATTTAAACTTATAATTTACATGAAGACCGCAGCTGCTACCACATTATAGTAATTTTAAATATAACATTTTCTCCGTGTAGGATTCTGCTTATTGGGTATCAAAAAAAATTGTTAAAATTGCAAAATGCAGAGGATTTTTCGACTTATTGTCAGTTAGGCCACTCTATCTGCCTATAAGCGGTACGTCAATCATCCCGTATATTATATATGTTATGAATTTGCATTATTATATTATTACATTATTACATAAGAAATTCAAAGTAGAGCTGAAAATTAAAGGATAATGAAATTTTTTAAAAAACATCCTTTTTACTGTAAAAAAAACTTTTACAAGAAACATTATTAATATTATTAATAATATTATTTATAAGTCCGGAAAACCAATTTGACGCGCTGTTCAAATGACTACAAATATGATGTACAGGGTGATTCAGAACAACCCAGGTACCCCTGAAGAGACGTCCCAGACAGCCAAACGTGCTGATATATAAAAGAAGTATGTCGTGCCGGATAGATGAGCTGGTTCCTTGCCGGATCTAGTGCAACACGCGTCGCATATACAAAATTCTATGTTCCCCAAATAGCAAACTGTCGGCATTGTGCCGGTATAGTGCATTCACGTCTGCGTATAGATGCATTAAATAAGATTTCAGTCAAAATTTGTTCGCGTTAATATATTTCTTGCAATAATAGTATCCTAAATTTTTATTAAAATTCAAATTGTAACGAAAAACATATCATCATGACTTGCCAGATTCATGTCGACATGAGTATTTGTATTAGTAACGGATAATAATTTCGGCATATATATATATATATTTGCAGCATGCACTTCGCAAATGATTTTACGAACAATTCTGTTGATATAATATATGAACATTATCTTATAGCGTTTCTCACTAGGAAAATTTGTGCGCACTTAGTGCGTGGCAAGTGCTCTTAAGGCGCACCAGTTTTTCTGATAAAAAAAGCCAAAAATACGATAATATCGAAAGCGGCGGTATATATTTGTGTACTTATTTATAGCGTTTTCG